AAAAAAATCGAAATGGAAGTTACAAAGTATTATGAACTGAATGAGAATTAGAACACAACATATCAAAATTTGTGGGATGCTGTTGAAGTATATATAAAGAAATCTATAGTACTCAATATTTGTATTAGAAAAGAAAAAAGGTCTCAATTCAATGACTTTATCTTCTATCTTAAGAAACTAGAGCAAATTAAAACCATAGTTAAGTAGGAGGGAAATAATAAAGAGAAGAATAGAAACCAATTAAATTGAAAAATAGGAAAATTATAGAAGAAATAAAAATCCTAAACTGGCTTTTAGAAGGTCATCAAACTGATAAACCTCTAACTAGATAAAAAGAGAGAAGACACAAGTCAGTATCAGGAATAATGAATCTGGGATCAGTGAGTCAAGATGTGATATTAATGTGATAATTCTTTCTACATAATAGATACTTTTTAAAATAAATTTTGCTTCTATAAACTTTATTAACTTGACACATCCCTAAGTGAGTATTGCAAAGGTTGTAGTTTATTTCTATTAAAACCAGTTTGTTCAGAGATAATTGCTCTTATTATTCCTATTTTGCTCTTCTCTGTTTGGAAATATACAGAACTAAATGAACTCACACATATTATTACAGATTTCTGCTAATATTTGTGTCTTTGAAATGAGTCTCACTGGAAGTTTTCAAATGTAGGTCTATAAATTTGTTGCATCAGATTCACCTTGGTTGTTTAAAACAAAACATTTATGGGTGGGGCTCAAATCTGCCAAATCAGAATATCTGTCTAGGAGATAAGGCTTAGTATTTGTTATCTTTATAAAATTTTCTGGGTTAGGGAACCTCTAGGAAATACTTGTTTATATGGCTTTTAATTGTCTATGATTTCTGGCTTCATAATGCTATGGCTTTGTCCCATGTGTTGTCCTTTTTGTTCTTTTGTGTGTGTGTGCGCACGGGTGTGCTTTGCTGGTAGCAATGCTATTTCTACTTCTTAGTTAAAAGTATGCTATATCTGCATGCTCCAGCAGCTTTATATATGGTTAGAGATCTTTTGAACAGAAATGGGTGAACATAGTTTGCTGGCCTTGGTTCCTGGAAGACAGTGATATGAAACCATGTTTTAAAAATAAATGAATGAGGCACACAAACAACTTTAGCAGCGGGATTGTTTTATCATCTAGAATGTGAATTAATTAACTTTTTTACTATGTATATAGATAGGTTATTTGCTGTTCCTCTATGTCGGAATTACATTATGCATGACAGGTAGGGAAGGATACCTTTTTGAGGAATAATTGAGCAGAAAGACAAACAGAAAAACTCTAAGGACATATATTTCCCTCCTCAAACAAATTTATATTAATAAAATAAGTAATTTATTGAGATTGACTTAAGTATTTGTTTTTCTTTTTATATTTTCTTTTACTTTGGGATGTACTTATTTAATTAGTCATACTCCATTTACTTGGTAAGTGTTTAGTTAACTGCTGTTTCGAAGTTTTGGGTACAAAGACAAATGAGCCTTTCTTCCTAGCCTCAGAGGACACATTGAAGTGGTGAGAGAAGGACAAAACAGAAGCAAAAATTACGGTGTGATGTGTTAACCGTTTTTTTTTTTTTTTT